GGCCTCCTCCTGCCCCCTCCCGCGCGGCCGCCGGCGGCGGCCGCTGCCGCCGCCGCTCCTCTCCCTCCTCCTGCTCCCAGTCCCCCTGCGCCGAGCTCGGGGCTCCCGCCCTTTGGGTGGGCGGCTGGCCGCGATGCCCGCCCGACCCGCGCCGCGGGCGCGGCGCGTGGCGGCCGCTCGCGCGGCCGCCCAGAAGCGCCTGCTGCGCCGCCGCCGGCCGTGCCTGCCGCGCCCGTGGGCGGCGCGCCTGGCGCCAGGGCAGCGCCTGGCCGTGGCCGTGCCGGAGGGGCGCGAGTTGCTCGTGGTGCGCGCGTGCCTGGCCGGCCTGGCGCCGGACGCGGCCGCCGAGGCGGGCGCGCTGGAGCTGACCTGCGAGGGCCGCAGCGCGGGCACCTTCCGCGTGCGGCCCTGGGGCACCGCCGTGCGGGCGAGGCTCACCGGCGACAGCGGGTGCTTCTGGAGGCCAGAGGTGCGCCCAGGGGATCCGGCGTTCAGCGTCGACCTCTCTGGCTACCTGGCGCAGCGCGCTGGGAGGGCGGCGCGGGGCCACCGTGCGGCCGGGGCTGGCGCGCCCGCGGGCGCGAAGAGGAGTGTGCCGTCGGGCGCCACCGCGGAGGTGCGAGAGGTGCGGCTGCCCGCAGGGTGGGCTGGCCTGTCCCTGCGGCTCGGCGACGACGGGCGGCTCACGGTGGCGGATGTGCCCAAGGCGTGCTTCTCCTCGGCCAAGTTCGCCGCCGAGGCTGGGCCGCAGGTGCAGAACGTGTCGCCCGGCGACGAGGTAGTCTCGATCAACGGGGTGTCACCGCAGCGCTTGGCCGAGCGCATCGCCACCCCTGGCGACGCGCTGAACACGTGCTCCGCAGGGTCCTCCGCCCACCGCCCCGGCTCCGTCGGCAAGCTCGACCCGGACCCCTGCGTCTCCTGCGACGTGGTCCGCCGGCAGCAGAGCCTCGGCCTGGACGTGGCCCTCCAGATGTGGATGAAGACGGTCAAGCGCGACACGCCCATTGTCCTCGGCGTGGTAGCCAGCGCCGAGCGCGCCGGCCAGCCACCGAGGGAGTCCGGCGGGCCCGCGAAGGCGGCACGCAGCATTGGCGCCGTGGTGGAGGCAGGCGCCAGCCGGTCGCTGGCGGGCGCGCCGCAGCTTCCGCAGCCCGCGGCCTGCCAGCAGGCTGCCACCCCGGCCAGACAGAAGGCTTCCGCCCCGGCCAGACAGGGCGCCTACAACCCGCTGCGTCCCGCCGCAGCCCGCGGCACGCTCGGCAACCTGGCGGCGGCAGGCCCCGCGGGCGCACAGGCGGCCGCGGCGAAGGCCGTGAAGCCGGCGCTGACGAAGGCCGCGGGCGGCCTCTCTTACGAGGACCTCTCGGAGGGCTCCGGCGCCGAGACTGCGCGCAAGGGCCAGGCGGCCCTGCTGAAGTTCACGCTGCGGCAGGCGGGCGCCAAGCAGAAGGTCGTGGAGCGGGGCGAGATCAAGGTCTGCCTGGGCAAGAGCGAGGTGATGGACGGCTGGGTCGACGGCAACGTGGACATGGAGGAGGTGCTGGGGACCTGGGGCAGCTGCCTCGTGGGGACCCGCGTCGGGGGCTGCCGCCGAGTCCACGTGCCGCCGGGGAAGGGCTTCCGGCACTGCGGCGGGGAGGCGGCCCCGTCGACCGCGAGCCTGCTCTTCGACGCGGAGCTGAAGAGACTGATGTGAGCCTCCGCCTGGCCGACGCAGGCCCAGAGGCGCGGCCTCGCGGCATCTGGGCGCCCGCGCCGGGCGCCAGGCGCCTCCATGGGGGGGTAGGTCAGAGTTGCCTGCCAGCAGCAAGCTTCCGCCGCCTCCTCCTCATCCTCCTCCCGAGGGAAGGAAGCGACATGATGACCATGACCAAGATTGCGTGCGATCCTGTCGACGCCGATCTTGGTCATGGTCCATGCCGGCCGCCGCCGATTCGCGAGGATGACCCACGAATCGTGGACTGACCAAGAGCGACATCGACGTCGCCGCGTTCAGTCTCGGTCATGGTCGCCGCTTTCTTTCCGTCTGTCCTCTTTCTCCTCCGCCGCTGGCCCAAGCACGGTCCAGCTTCCACCGTCCTGGGGATGCCGTGGCCCGCCATTCTGAGTGCCGATCCGACTTCGGCTGTCCTCGGGGCCCGACGGGCCCCAGGCCCCCAGTGTTCCCCGCTGTCGTCGCTCCGATGGGTGCCGACGCTGATCAGTCATTCCCGCGCGCGCGCGTCCAAATCCACGGTTTCGGGGTCGCATTCCAGGAGTGGAGGATGCGAATCTTTGCTGGCTCCTGAGGGCGGGACGCTACCCACATCCACTTCTCATCGGGGGCCTGGCGCGGCAGTGCAGAGCCGTGGGCTTGGATGCTTCTTGGCTCCCTGGTCCGCCGCTCTGCGGTTGATCGTAAGTTTTGTTTATTGTTGTTCGTGTATGTTTGTTCGTACGTACGTGCGTATGCATGCCTGCATCCATGCATGTAGGTATGCATGTTTGTTTGTTTGTTTGTTTGCGTGTATGTATGCGTGCATGCATGCATGCAAGTGTGTATCTGTGTGTATGCATGTCTGTCTGTCTGTCTGTCTGTCTGTCTGTCTGTCTGTCTGCATGCATGCATGTATGTATGTATGCATGTATGTATGCATGTATGTGTATATGTGGGCATGCATGTATGTAAATATGCATGCATGTATGTATTTATGCATGCATGCATGCATGCTTCTGTGTGCATGTATGCATGTATGTACGTATGTATGTATGCATGCATGCATGCATGCATGCATGTATCTATGTATGTATGCATGCATGTATCTACGTATGTATGCATGCATCTATGCATGCATGTATGCATGTATGTATGTATGTATGTATGTATGTATGCATGCATGCATGCATGCATGTACGTAGGTGTGTACGTATGCATGTATGCATCCATGCGTGTATGTATGTATGTATGTATGTATGTATGTATGTATGCATGCATGCATGCATGCATGCATGCATGCATGCATGCATGCATGCATGTATGTATGTATGTATATATGTATGTATGTATGTATGTATGTATGTATGTATGTGCGTATGTGTATGCATGCCGGTATGTACATATGCACGCCTCTATGTCTGTCTGCCTGTCTGATTGTATGCATGTAGGTATTTTTGCATGTAAGCAAATATCTATGAATGTATGTAAATGTGTAGGTTTGTATGTATCCATGTGTGCATGTATGTATGAGTATATCTATAATCATGTATGTGTTTATGTATGCATGTTTGTTTGTCTCTCTGTCTGCCTGTCTGTCTGCCTGCCTGCCTACCTGCCTGCCTGCCTGTCTGCCTGTCTGTCTGTACGTCTGTACGTATGTATGCATGCATGCATGCATGCATGTATGTATGTATGTATGTATGTATGTATGTATGTATGTATGTATGTAGATATGTATGTATGTGTGTGTATGTATGTATGTATGTGTATGGTATGGTACATATAGGTCTGTGTGTAAAAACATATGCACACACACACGTATTTGTATTTTCATCCATACACACACATCAGTATGCCCGCACACACGCACGCACGTTTTATTTACATGTATGTGCACACACACATATATATATATATAGATGTACGAGCATATCTCTACACATATTAAGTAGATCCTGGGCCCGGGGCCCCGTGCCGGCCCCTTCCTTGTATTTCGGCGCCCCTTCTCCCCGGGGGCCTCCCGGGGCGACCCCCGCAGGTTTCACAACGCCCGAGAGTCTTCCAAGACCACCCAAGATAGCTTGCGACTGGCCCCAGATGACACCGCGACAGCCTCAAGGCGCCCCAAGACGCCCCAAGAGGCCCGCTAAGAGGCCCCTCAAGAGGGCCCCAAGAAGCAAAACCTGTCCCACTCCCTACGGACAACGTATATTTTCCGCGTATTTGCCTCTTGGGCTTTCAGAACGTCCACGACGGCCCAAGATGCTCCCAAGACGGCCCAGCAGGCCCCCAGGAAAGCTCAAGGACGGCTCAAGAAGGACCCAAGACGGCCCAGGAGGCCCCCAAGATGGCCCAAGAGAGCCCCAGCACAGGCCCAGTAAGGGTCCAAGAGGGGGAAAGCCAAGATCACATTTCGAGCCTTGGCCTAGAAAGGCCCCCAGGATGCCATCTCGTCGACGCCACTTTGCACACCAGCCCTGAGGCGCAGGGCTGGGTTGGCTTCGTCTGAACGACCATGCAGCCATTAGGAACCGAGAGGAGGAGGAGGAGAAGGAGGAGGAGGAGGAGGAGGAGGAGGAGGAGGAGGAGGAGGAGGAGGAGGTGGACGGTGGAGGGGGACGGTGGAGGGAGGGGGAGGAGGACGAGGCGGGGCGCAGGAGGTCACATTCTTATCACGGATGCCACAAGCTGGCTCGCTCAGTAGCGCCTGCGGCGCATCATAGGCAGCTGGCCGCCCTCCGATGGGCAGCCATTTCGAAATCAGAACTTGTGCCAGCCAGGTGGGCCACGCGCACCATGTGCGCCAGGTGCCCGGGGATTGCCAGGCGCGCCTGGCGCGCCGAATTGCCAGATTCACCTTGTACGCCAGGCGCACCAGGTGTGCCGTTTGCAGAGGAGAGCGAGTTGAGACAACGGTAGTTGGCCTCCAGGCGGGCACTTCGTCACCACGGCTGGACGTAGCTCGGAATCTGGTGCGTTTGGGCCCCGGGACCGATTTTTGAGCCGCCGTTGTCTCAATTCGCCCTGCTCTGGTACTTCCTCGAATCGCGCACAGTGCGCCAGCTGCGCCAGGTGCACCATTAACTGTGAGAGCACGCATCGGCCAACGGTATCCCCACCATCCTGGAGCAGCGCTGGGGGAGGGGGGCCCCGCCCCCCAGCATCCTGCCTGCCCTGCCCGCCGTTGCCCGCCACTGTCCGCCCCTGCACCCCCCCCCCTGCCCGCCCCAGCCTGCCGCCCCCCACCGCCTGGCGCCCCCCCCCGCGCCCGCGCCCGCGCCGCTCCCAGCGCGCGGCCCCGCCCCGCCCCGCCGCCGCCGCTCACCCCCCCCGCGCGCGCGGGGGGCGGCGCGGCGCGGCCTCTCGGGGGCCGCATGCGGCGCGGCCTGCGTCGGCGCAGGAGGGGGCGGGGGGGGCACGGAGGGGAGGCGCGGCCGCGCGCCACGGCTGCGAGGAGCCTGCGGTGCGCCGCACGCCCCGCCCGCGCGGCGCGGCGCCTGCTCCGCACGCCGCGCGCCTGCCTGGCACGCCTGCGCCGCGCGAAGGGGCGGGGGGGCGCGGAGGGCGGGGCAGCTGGCGAAGGCTTGCCCTCGAGCCCTCGAGCCCTCGAGCCTCGGCCACACCGGCGGCAAGGGCCCGGGTCTGTGTATAGGCAGCCCCGGCCCATGTAGGCCTTCGTAGGCCTTCCTAGCCTGCCCGGGCCTACCAGAGGCCTACTCCTGGGAGGAATGCGTTCCCTAGGCTTGCCCAGGCCCTGCCTTGGCCGAAGTAGGCCTCCCCTGAGCACGCGTACCCTGGGAGCAAGGCCTTTCCTAGGCCTCCGAAGGCCATCCCTAGGCCTACCTGGGCCTTCGTGGGCCTTCCCTGGGCCTTACTAGCCTACCTCGGCTTACTCTGGAGGAGAGCAGCGGGAGGAGGGCGAAGAGCGGCGACACGAGGGGCTCAGGGCCCCCGGGTGCGGCGCCGCTGGCGTCGACGCTGCGGCGCTGGGGCTGGCGCTGGCGCTGTGCCTCTCGCTCGCGAAGGAGGTCGGCTTCGCAGGCGCCGCTGGACGAGGAGGATCGAGGAGGAGGAGGAGGAGAAGGAGGAGGAGGAGGAGGAGGAGGAGGAGGAAAGGAGGAGGAGGAGGAGAAGGAGGAGGAGGAGCAGGATAAGAAGGAGGAGGAGGAGGCGGAGGAGGAGGAGGAGGGCGATACTGATGATGATGATGATGATGATGATGATGATGATGATGATGTTGATGATGATGATGCTGATGGTGATGCTGATGATGATGCTGATGCTGATGCTGATGCTGATGCTGCTGATGCTGCTGATGCTGATGCTGATGATGATGCTGATGCTGATGCAGATGCTGAGGCTGATGCTGCTGATGATCATGCCGATGATGCTGCTGCTGATGATGATGAGGAGGAGGCGGAGGAGGAGGGAGAGGAGGAGGAGGAGGAAACGGGTGACGAGGAGGACGTTGATGATGATGATGATGATGCTGATGGTGGTGATGGTGGTGATGATGATTATGATGATGATGCTGATGATGACGATGATTATGATATGATGATGCTGCTGCTGACGATGATGACGATGACGAGCATGATGATGATAGTGACGATGATGTTGATGATGATGCTGGTGATCGTGGTGGTGGTGGTGATGAAGATGAAGATGAAGATGAAGAAGATGATGCTGCTGATGCTGATGATGATTCTGATGATGATGATGCTGATGATGAGGATGGGGATGATGATGATGATGATGATGATGATGATGATGATGATGATGATGATAATGATGGCGATGAGGATGATGATGACGATGATGATGATCATGACGATTATGATGCTGATGATGATGGTGATGCTGACCATGATGCTGATGATAATGATGATGACGATGACGATGATGGTGTTGCTGCTGATGATGATGATGATGATGCTGATGCTTTTGATGATGATGCTGATGATGTTGATGCTGAGGATGCTGCTGTTGATGATGATGATGGTGATGATGATGTTGCTGCTGATGCTCTGGACGATGGTGATGATCATGCTGATGCTCATGATGCTGGTGATGATGAGTTCATGATGATGGTGATGATGATGTTCATGATGATGATGCTGATGATGAGGATGGGGATGATGATGATGATGTTGATGCTGCTGCTGATGATAATGATAATGATGATGCTGATGTTGATGATGTTACTGATGATCATGTTGATGCTGATGATGCTGATTTTGCTGATGATGCTGATGATGATGCGGATGCTGAATGTGATGATGATGATGATGTGATGATGCTGCTGCTGATTATGATGATGCTGCTGATGATGATGCTGATGATGATTATTATTCTGATTATGATGTCGCTGATGATGATGATGATGATGATGATGATGATGATGATGATGATGATGAGGATGCTGATGCTGATGCTGCTGCTGCTGATGATGATGATGCTTATGACGAGGCTGATGAGGATGATGATGGTGGTGATGCTGCTGCTGATGATGACAATGCTTATGATGATGATCAACGATGTTGGAATGAACCCTCTCTCCAAGCTCCCTCTTCACAGGCCCCTGCAACGGTTCATTTCCACTGAGGGGACTGCCTCGTTTGAAGACAACCGTTTGAAGACCCTGAAGCATGGCAAAACATTGTTCTCGGGATTCCAGCGCCACGGATCAACCTGACTGTTGCGTCTTGACTGTCTTGAACCGTGCTGGAACAACACTCCTGGGACTTGAACACCGCGAGTCAGCGTACTTGTTGCACCTTCATAATGCTGAATCCTTCCAACATGCGATTCCTGGTTTGTTGATCATGAGAACCAGTGAAGCTTTTCAATCTGTAAACGCGAGTGTGGGAAGAGCTAAGGCGAGAGCCACATGTTGAAAAGGAGTCGCCCTCAATTCGTGAAGCTTTTGCAAACTAACACGAATGGGCGCGGCGCTAAGGCGATAACCACACTTTGGAAACCATCCGCCCTCAATACGCGAAGCTCTTGCAAACATTTAAAGCGAACGTGTGCGGCGCTAAGGCGAGAGCCACATTTTGAAAAGGGGCCGCCTTCAATGCGTGAGCATCTGGCAAATGTTTAAAACGAATGTGCGCGGCGCTGAAGCGAGAGCCACAATTGGGAAACCGCCCGCCCTCAATCCGTGAAGCTCTTGCAAATTGTTAACGCGAATGTGCGCGGCACTAGGGCGATATCCATATTTTGAAAACGACACGCCCTCAATCCGTGAAGCCCCTTGCACATCTTTAGATAGACTATGCGCAGCGCTAAGGCGAGAGCCACATGTTGAGAACAACCCGCCCTCCACCTGTGAAGCTGTTGCCAATGTTCCAGCTTCAGGGCCAGTAAGGGTGATGCAGTCTCAGGCGAAACGCCCAGTCCGCCCTGACAACTTGCCTCGAGGTGCGACAGGGGGACGTTATTGTTAAGGAAAAATGTTAGAGGAGGAGGAGGAGGGGGGACGGAGGAGGAGGAGGAGGAAGAGGAGGAGGAGGAGGAGGATGAGGAGGAGGAGGAGGAGGCGGAGGAGGAGGAGGATGAGGAGGGAGGAGGAGGAGCAGGAGGAGGAGGAGGAGGAATAGAGGGGAGGAGGATGAGGAGAAGGAGGAGAAGGAGGGGGTGGAGGCGGAGGAGGAGGAGACGACGAGGAGGAGGGAGGAGGAGAAGGAAGATGAGGGAGGAGGAGGAGGACGGATGAGGAGGAGGATGAGGGGGAGGAGGAGGGGGAGAACGAGGAGAGAGACGGAGGAGGAGAGGGAGGAGAGAGGAGGAGGAAGAGGAGGAGGAGAAGGAGGAGAGGAGGAGGAGCAGGAGGAGGATGAGGGCGTATGCTGATGACGATGATGATGGGGAGGCGAAGGGGATGGGGAGGAGGAGGAGGAGGAGGGAGGAAGGAGGAGGGGGATGAGGAGTAGAAGGATGATGAGGAGAACGAGGAGGAGGAGAAGGAGGAGGAGAGGGAGGAGGAGGAGGAGGAAGAATGAGGAGGATGATGATGAGGAGGAGGAGAGGAGGAAGGCGTATGGTGACGACGATGATGATGGGGGGAAGGAGGAGGAGGAGGGGAGGAGGAGAGGAGGAGGAGGAGAGGAGGAGGTTGAGGGGGAGCGGTAGGAGGAGGAGGAGGAGGAGGAGGAGGAGGAGGAGGAGGAGGAGGAGGAGGAGGAGGTGGAGCAGGATGAGGAATACGGGGGATGAGGAGGCGGATAATGATGAGGGTGATGACGATGAGGAGGAGGAGGAGGACGAGGCGGGGGAGGCTGCTGCTGCTGCTGATGATGATGCTGATGCTGATGCTGCTGATGCTGCTGATGATGATGATGATGATGCTGATGCCGATGATGATGCTGATGATGATGATGATGTTGATGATGTTGACGATGACGATGTTGATGATGATGATGCTGATGACGATGATGCTGATGCTGCTGATGATGCTGATGCAGCTGATGCTGATGATGACGATGCTGATGATCATGATGATGATGATGACGCCGATGGTGATGATGATGCTGCTGCTGATGATGATGATGATGCTGATGCTGATGCTGATGATTATGATGCTGCTGCTGCTGCTGATGATTATGATGATGCTGCTGATGATGATGATGATGCTGATGATGATGATGATGATGATGATGATGATGATGATGATGATGATGATGCTGCTGATGATGATGATGATGATGCTGATGATGATGATGATGATGCGGACGACTGGGGATGAGGAGGAGGAGGTGGAGGCGGAGGAGGAGGAGGTGGAGGGAGAGGAGGAGGAATCGTAGGCGAAGTATTCGGAAGAGGAGGAGGATGAGGATGAGGAGGAGACTTTGGAGGAGGAGACGGGTGAGGGGGAGGAGGATGCGGCGGATGATGATGATGATGCTGATGATGATGATGATGATGATGATGATGATGATGATGCTGATGATGCTGATGCTGTTGATGATGATGATGATGATGCTGCTGATGATGCTGATGCTGTTGATGATGATGCTGATGCTGATGAGGATGATGATGAAGCTGATGATGATGATGATGATGATGATGATGATGATGATGATGATGATGATGATGATGCTGATGCTGATTATGATGATGCTGATGATGATGAGGATGCTGTTGCTGCTGCTGCTGATGATGATGATGATGACGACGACGACGACGATGATGATGATGATGATGATGATGATGATGATGATGATGATGATGATGATGATGATGATGATGATGATAATGATAATGAGAACGATCATGCTGATGATGCTGATGAGGATGCTGATGATGATGCTGCTGCTGATCATGATGATGATGATGATGATGAGGATGATGATGCTGATGATGCTGATGATGATGAGGAGGAGGAGGAGGTGGAGGAAGAGGAGGAGGCGGAAGGGGAGGAGGAGGTGGATGAGGATGATGATGAGGAGGAGGAGGAGGCGGAGGTGGAGGCGGAAGTGGAGGCGGAAGCTGAGGCTGAGGCGGATGCGGATGCGGATGCGGAGGCGGGGAAGAGGAGAAGGAGGACGAGGAGGAGGAGACGGCGGATGAGGAGTAGGAGGAGGCGGGCGTATGGTGATGACGATGATGATGGGGCGGAGAAGGAGGAGAAGTGGTAGGAGGAGGAAGAGGAGGAGGAAGAGGCGGAGGAGGAGCAGGAGGAGGAGGAGGAGGAGGCGGAGGAGGAAATGGACGGGGAGGGTGAGGAGGAGGAGTAGGAAGAGGCGCAGGAGGAGGAGGAGCAGGAGGAGAAGGAGGATGAGGATGAGGAGGAGGAGGTGGAGGGATGAGGAGAAGGAGGATAATGAGGAGAAGGAGGAGGAGGCGGAGAAGGAGGAAGAGGAGGAGGAGGAAAACGAGGAGAAGGAGGAGGAAGAGGAGGAGGGGAGGATGATGATGCTGTTGCTGCTGATGATGATGATGATGACGAGGAGGAGGAGAAGGAGGAGGATGAGGAGGTGGAGGGGGAGGAAGAGGATGAGGAAGACGAGGAGAAGGATTAGGAATGGGATGAGGATGAG